TATACAACCTTGAAGCAGGACAGTCCCACAATATTTTTCCTGTCTCTTGCTTTCATTCACCACCCCCTTCTTTTTGAACAACCATCAACCTGAGAGACAACATAGCAGCAACTGGCATGTCATGACAAACAGGCCTTATTCAGAAGACCAGAATGACAGGCACTCCAAGCATGACTACTATTACAAAATACCATCTGCAGTGCAGTAGCTTAGTTCACAGGTATCAGTATATATAGATAGTCAGGGTGAGAATCTTTCCAATTAACTGCTGGACTCAAAAATCTTCTGGAGATTCTCAGGATCATTGCCTTGCCCATCTTCTACATATAACTGTATGACTTGACTTATTCATGTTTCCTAGCTCTTCTCCTTTCCCTCTTTTGATTAGTTAGTCCTTGAGATCCTGCTTTCCTTTGACCTGTATTATAATTTTCTATTTGTGTTCTTCTTTTGAGTTCTTATACTAGGGAAACTATATGATATTTACACATGTGTGTCTGGTTTATTTCACTTAGGAGTATATGTTCAAGTGGCATCTACTTCAATATAAAGGCCTCAAGGTTATCGTTCTTTACAGCTGAGTAATACTCCATTGTGTAAAAATATCACATCTTTTTCAACCATTCCTCAGGTGATGTGCATCTTGGTTGTCTCCAAGATTTGACTATCACAAATTGTGCTGCTATAAACATAGGCACACATATATCCCTATGATATGATGTTTTCAGATCCTCCAGGAAAATTCCTAGTAGAGGAATAGCTTGTTTAAATGGGATTTCCAGTCCAACTTTTCTAAGGAGTCTCCACACTGATTTCCATAACGGTTGCACCAGTATACATTCCCACCAGCAGTGGAAAGGGTTCCTTTTTCCCCAGAGCCTCTCCAACATTTGTTGTTGGGTGATTTCTTTATGATAGCCATTCTTGCTGGGGAGAAATGATATCTCAGTGTTGTTTTAATTTGCATTTCACAGATGGCTAGTGATGTGGAGCATTTTTTCACATATTTATTTGCTTCTTTAATTTCATCCTCTGAGAAGCGTGTGTTCATCTTGGATGCCCATTTCTGGATTGGGTCTTTAAATTTTGGGGCCCTAGTGTTTTTTTAGTTCTTTATAAATTCTAGAGAGCAGACCTTTGTCTGAGTACTTGTTTGTCATGATTTTTTCCAAATTTGTGGGTTGCCTTTTCACTTTTTTGGTAATTTCTTTTGACGTGAAAAAACTTCTCAGTAAGATCAGGTCCCAGGGCCCTGGCTCCTTCTCCCAGCGACGTCCCATGCAGAGCAGTTCTGGCCAGCGGGGACAGGTGACATTTTAAAAAATATTTGAATTAACACGTCTACCCAGGGGACATACACAGATCTACTATTCCAAAAGAGAAAACCAGCTTTGACAGCACAGCCATGATGCCCAGGGTTCAACCCAAGCTGGCAAGACCAGCAAAGGGAAAGGAGGAAGAAGGCCACAGAAGGGGAGGAAAAGCTTCCACCAAGAGGGCAGGAGCCTCTGAGGATGCCACCTGACGTGACAGGAATGAGCTAGAGTTTGAAGAGGCGGTGAAGGCTTTTGCAAGAAAACTTATGGAAGCAAAAATCACAACACCCGCAGTGAAAAACTTAGAGAGCTCCTGGTTCAGAAAGGAGAGACAAAAAGTAAAAGATTCAATGCCGCTGGTAGAGAAGACGGAGGACGCCAGTGCAGGCGAGGATGCCAAAAGATTGAGCTCTGGAAGAAAACCAGGGGCGCGGAGGAGGAGCGCGCACACATATCGCTCGGGCAGTGGGGGCCAAGGGAAGGCGCGCCCTCCACCCGGAGCACCGGCACAGCCTCGCCCAGGAACGAGGGACAGAGAGGTCGTGAGGCCTGGGAGACCTTTGCGAGCAAGAGCCACGGAGGAAATGCGGGCAGGAAGAATCCTCGCGGACCCGAGGAAGGAAGAGCTGGCTGCAGAAGAAGAAGGCCGGCTCGGGGCTGAGGGCACCCCCTTGACACTGGCGGCCGACTTCTCCTCCACCACGCTGGAAGTTGGCGGGCAGTGGGCTCGCATCTTCCACGTTTTGGGAGAAAATGGTTTTGATCCCAAGTTTCTATGCAAGATTGAACTGGCATTTAAATGCAATGGCGAAGTCTAGACCTTCTCAGACCTGCAAAGCCTCAGGTGCTTTGCCAGCCAGAAAGCTTTCAAGAGATTTGCTGAAAGATGCTTTCCCACAGAGTGCAAACTCACGTGGAGAAGGACAGCAACTTGGGATGCAAAGAAAGGG